GTAGTGTAATCTCCATGCCACAGCCAGAGAAAGACATCTCATGCACAAATCAATCAAGCACACTTATGAACATAAGCATAAAGATTAAAGTTAAATACTGCAAATTATACTTATTCAGTAATTTTCTTTTAGTATCTATGTAGCTAGTATTGTAATAGATGTTGATGAAACCAATGCAGTGCATCATCTGCCTTTGTGAGCTCCATTTTGACTGGTAATATGGGCAAGATATCTTCATTTGTTTTGTAGTGTAAATACTGCATGTTGTGGATTCTAATAATACACGTAACTCAGAATCACAGTATCCTTTTTCAAGAAAGTGGTAGCTGAGCTGCATTGTGGTTAACAAGTAGGAGTTCACCAATAGATACACAGGAGGCCACACATGCTTTTGAGTGCACACAAACAAACCCAAAGGCCCAGAGACCACAGAGACAGTATGTTAACAAGTTACCATGAGTATAAATGAAGTAAGGGAAGAACCTTGAGAAAACAAGAACTTAATCCTAAAGTGGCCTGACTATTCTTGATTTCCTTTTAAAGTGTTATTCTATAGGGAGGGGGACCATTGTCAACTCACAAATGAGGAAATAACAATAACCATGAATGTATTCCTGTAAGATCAGTGTTGGTATTTTAAAGAATCAATCAGGTCTGTTACATGAGAGATATGCAATTAAGAGATGAAACAATGTCCTTTGCAGTAAATTGTAAGGACCCACACAAAGGATCTTGCAGTGAGAATGAAGATTAAAGATTTTAATGTTGGAAGAATAGAATCTAGTGGTCCATTTTGATTTGTTAGTTAAGAGAAATCAAGAATGTTTAGGTGTCTTGTCTTTTGCAGACAGGTCTGGATGTTGCGATTTTTTTTACCTTACAAAGAATACAAGAGAAGGGTACAGAAGACAGAATTTCAAATTGTTTGGTTTTAAAGATGAAGAAGAAACTAGAAGGGGAAAAGGCTAAAGTTTAAAAATTTAAAGTAAAAGACTGATATGTTACTGTGGTCTATAAAGAAAATTGAAGTTTTGGGATCCAGGGAAGATCTAGGGGGTTCCCTGCATCATGAAACTTACTGTAAGGTAAAAAGAAAGGTCTCACACAAATATGTTTATACTTTCCTGCTAAGGTTGGGGCCAGGAAGGAATGGAATTCCATCCTGGTTGCTTCTGTCAGTGATAGATGGTACAAAATAATTTCATTGAAGTATGATATTCCTCTTGGTTTATAAACAACTTGCGGTCCCTTTATATACTGAAGGAAGTATGCCAAATGTTCATAGTGGTTATTTTGGGTTGCAGATTTTTTTTTTTTTTTTTAAAGATGACCAGTAAGGGGATCTTAAACCTTGACTTGGTGTTGTCAGCACCGCGCTCTCCCCAATGAACTAACCGGCCATCCGTATAGGGATCCAAACCCGTGGCCTTGGTGTTATCAGTGCCGCACTTCCCCAAGTGTGCCACGGGCTGGTCCCTTGGGTTGAATAATTATTGTTTTTTGTTATTTCCCTTACTTTCACTACACTTACCAAAATGTAAATGTGCATTTTTGGACGCGTGATTTTTTTAAAAAAATTGATTATCTGATGGAACCTTAGTAAAGCTAACATGAAAAGTTGAAGCTGATCAGAGATAAGTAAGCATGGTTTTCACCAACCATGAAGAGGAACTAGTGGAACTTCTGGTTCTTGGGTCTTATTGAAAGTTCATTGGTCTTATTGCAATTCTGACTTATCGGTCTTATTGCAAGTTAGTTCAATGAAACAACTTGTTTAGCTTGCTACTTACTTTTGAAATAACATACCTTTAAAAACACAGAATACCTGATTCTGAGTTGTGGACATATGGTCGGTGTGCACTCCTAAAAAATATGATTCTTTCCAGCCCACTCGCCTGTAAAATAAGAATGTTATGCAAGTTTCCTTATAAAGTATTGTCATTTGACTATAATATCTTATGATAAATGACAATCACTTTATAATACTTTCAAGACATCATTTAAATTTTATGAGTACAGAATCATATTCTAAGGAAATTCATCAGCAATTTATTCTTTTTAGTATTTTATGTGTTTGGGGTGAAAATATTTTTGCTCTTGTTCTAGCTCAAGAAAGTGCTGTATTAATTAGTGGTATCATCTGGTATCAGTAATTGTCAATAGGAAATGAGCTTTATAAACACTTTTTTTTCAGTTTAGGTTCCAACTGATTTTAAAGCTAAAGGCTTAAAATTAAATATGCTTACTTTATTAGCCACTGGTGGAATACATGAGTATCACAACATAGCAAGCATTATTCAATATAATTGTTAAATATAATTAATATAAACAGAATAATTACACTTTCAGACAAATAATAGGTGAGAGTCCAAAATGAATAAAAGTAAGAACATGGCTCAATGAGTAGATAGATAATATTTCTCAAATTATTTATATATTTTTTTAAAAACATGGTCCAAATGTCATTAAGAACTCATTCATTTTTTTCTTTTAATTGGCCATAATCTAACCTATCCAAAGAGAGGCAATAAAAAAGTTTTCTAAGAAAAGAATAAAAGATATTAATTGAAGTCGCAGAAATAAGATTTTAATTTTTTTTAGCGAGACATGACAACCATATATATTTACTGTTTACTGATTGATATTTTGGCTCATACAATGTATAATAATCAAATCCGATGAGTTTACGTATGCATCACCTAAAACATCATTTCTTCCAATTTTGAAAAATGTAAAAACCTCTCTTCCAGAAATTTGAAAGTGTGTAAGAGCCTGAGAGAAGTCATTCCATTTTGTTAAGCCTTTGAATTAAAAAACTCGTTCTGTCCTGAAACACAAACCACACAGCCTGCAGCTAATTGCCATAACAAACTGACTCTTGCTCTAATAGCGTACAAAAAACAGTTAGAGAAAAATTATAAACCCAGATGATACTTCACTAGCTTACTAAAAATTATAAACCCAGATGATACTTTATTAGCTTACTACTCAGTCAGTTATTTAGTTATTATGTTTCTGAGGACACTTCTGTTTTCTTTCTCTCTCTCTCTCTCTCTCTCTCTCTCTCTCTCTCTCTCCCTCNCTCCCTCCTCCTTTCTGTCTTTCTTTCTTTCCTGTTTTTTTCCCTTTTCTCTGACTTCTCAAAACCTCCCGCTCACTTTTCAAGGCAGCAATCGCAGTATGGATTAGGTGTTGTTTCTCGAGTCTGCATACTTAAGTTGTAGGGGAATTGTAGGGGGATGGTAGAAAAATATATACACAGTTTTTTAACAAATGCTTGCTAAAAGCATTTTAAGTAAAGCAGCTTCTAAGAGGCCTTATAAAGGTCAGGCGTGCCCAAGCACACTAAACATTCCAGGAAGGGAGTGACCCCCCACCCAGTTCCAGGAACTGACTGGTTCCTTATCCAAAGGCCACCTGGCCAGGCCCCGGGGAAGATAAACGATTGAGAAGTGCACCCTTCCTTATCGGGGTATCAGCCTGCTAAAGCCCACCTGTAAATCTAGAGGTGCCACAAATCTATTGTGGTACCAGCCTGCTAAAGTCTACCCATAAATCTCAAGGCACCGCAGATAACCAACAACTCATCCTGTCGCAAGGGTCTGTCCAGAAAAACTGTATAAAAGGTGCTTGTGTTGTAAGCTCAGGGTCTCTTCTGTCCAGGAGACTAAGTGACCCCAGCATGCTGGAATAAAACTCCTCTTGACTGATTGCATCAGTCTCAGTCTCGTGGTCTTTGTGAAGTGAGCCGTCCCTGCGAGTGTGAGATTTGTGCATGGTGCACAGGTCTTACAAAGTTTCCCATCCCCCTTCATGGATGGGCAGATGGATTCGCGTTCACATGTACATACGTATGTACTCAGTCGGCTATATAGTTATTATTATTTTTTATTTTGGATCGGACACGTTGCAGAAGTAACCAAAGCTGTTGCCGATCTGTGTTGTGGATGCCTAGGTAGACTGTGCCTGACCTCAGGGACGGACAAACTCATATTGACAGGGCGAGCAATGTCCACGTGTATGTATAAGCTTTTACTGTAGGAAACTGTTTTCTCCTTATGAGAAAAAAATAGCTCACCAAACCCAAAAGTGGTGTGTGGCAGCATATGCCATGCTACATTTGCTCGCTTGCTTTCTTGCTTGCTTTTTTTGCTTTCTGGTTTTCTTGCTCTCTTTCTCACATTCTCGCTTTCTCTCTCTCTTTCTGTGTCCTTGTGTTCTTTCTTTCTTGCTCTCTTGCTCTTTTGCTTTCTGGCTTTCTTGCAGCATATGCAATGTTACATTTGCTCGCTTGCTTTTTTGCTTTCTGGTTTTCTTGCTCTCTTTCTCGCTTTCTTGCATTCTCGCTTTCTCTCTCTCTTTCTTGTGTCCTTGTGTTCTTTCCTTCTTGCTCTCTTGCTCTTTTGCTTTCTGGCTTTCTTTCTTGCTTTCTGGTTTTCTTGCTCTCTTTCTCGCTTTCTTGCATTCTCGCTTTCTCTCTCTCTTTCTTGTGTCCTTGTGTTCTTTCCTTCTTGCTCTCTTGCTCTTTTGCTTTCTGGCTTTCTTTCTTGCTTTCTGGTTTTCTTGCTCTCTTTCTCGCTTTCTTGCATTCTCGCTTTCTCTCTCTCTTTCTTGTGTCCTTGTGTTCTTTCCTTCTTGCTCTCTTGCTCTTTTGCTTTCTGGCTTTCTTGCAGCATATGCAATGTTACATTTGCTCGCTTGCTTTTTTGCTTTCTGGTTTTCTTGCTCTCTTTCTCACATTCTCGCTTTCTCTCTCTCTTTCTTGTGTCCTTGTGTTCTTTCCTTCTTGCTCTCTTGCTCTTTTGCTTTCTGGCTTTCTTTCTTGCTTTCTGGTTTTCTTGCTCTCTTGCTCTCTTTCTCGCTTTCTCTCTTTTCTTTCTTTCTTGCTTGCTTGCTTTCTTGTGTTCTTTCTTTCTTGCTGTCTTGCTCTGTCTCTCACTTTCTCGCTCTTTCTTTTTGCTTTCTTTCTTGCTTGCTTGCTTGCTTGCTTGCTCGCATACTCTCTCTCGCTTTCTCGCTTACTTTCTTTTTTCTTTCTTTCTTTCTTGCTTTCTCTCTCGCTTTTTCGCTATCTCACTTTCTTTCTTTATCTCTTGCTTGCTTGCTCTCTCTCTTGCTTTCTCGCTTTCTTTCTTGGTTTCTTGCTCACATGCTCTCTCCCGCTTTCTTGCTGTCTTTCTTTTTGCTTTCTTTCTTGCTTTCTGGCTCGCTTGTTCTCTCTCTCTCTCTCGCTTTCTCGCTTTCTTTCTTTTTGCTTTATTTCTTTCTTGCTCTCTTGCTTGCTTCCTTTCTTGCTCACTTGCTCTCTTTCTCTCGCTGTCTTGCTTTCTTTCTTTCTTGCTCGCTCGCTCACTCGTTCACTCTCTCTCTCGCTCTCTCGCTTTCTTTCTTGCTTGCTTTCTTGCTTGCTCTCTTGCTCTCTTTCTCGCTCTCTCTGAGAGACTTTCTCTCTTTCTTTCTTGCCTGCCTGCCTGCCTGCCTTTTCTCTAGACTTTGCCTGTAAGAAGAGAACCCCCCACCCCCCTTTAAACAATACAGTTGCATTGGGAAGGTTCCTCACACCTTCCTGTGGTAATAGGTGCCTTTCCCATATTTTCTCCTGGTCTGAACTCTGTCGTTTCCATCCACTTGAGGTGTGATGAAAGTGACTTCTCCGTGTTTGCTGCGAGTCCTTTCATGGTTTCACTTTTGTCCCGCTAGCGTCTGTGCCGGTTTGTGGGGCTCCACCTGGTGGCCGTTTTTATATGGCTCTCTAGAGCTCCAGCGAAGCAGGCGAGGGGACAGGAGGTTGCCTCGTTGCCCGAGGCAGAGTTCTGGGAAGACTGGAGGGCTAGCGTGACCGTCACCACCAGTGCCCTGGCGCCAGCACGTCCCCCGTTCCTTGGAGATTGGGCATGGAGGTAGGCGGGGAGGGCGGTGGGCTGTCGCCATGCTCCCGGGCTTGAACGACATGTGGGGACGCCCGCGCGGGCAGGTTGACCAGCAGGCTCTGGGGCGCCTCCGTCTGCGGGGACCGACTGGGGACAAGGCGGATGAATGGGAGAGGGTGTCCCGCGGCCGGATGCCGTCCCACCTGTGGCCCGGTCATCAGCCGCGGCTTTCCCACTAGCCGCCGAGTTGGGCTCCAGAGGTGTGGGGACCGGTCCGGGCCACCTAAGCAGGAGGGTACAGATAGGGTGCCAAGGGAGGCTTCGAGCCCTGGGCCCGCGTGCGGTCTCGGTCATGTGAGACGTCTGCCGGGAAATTTTTCAAAGTCCCCGTCCAGAGGCGAGGACTGGCCCCCCACCCCCACCCCCGAGAACGTGGTTGGCTGGGGCCGGGCCTGGGACCCCGCGTGCATCTCAGTCATCCGGGGCACCTGCTGGAATTTCTTCTAAGTCCCCTAGAAGGCTGGGGGCCGGCCCAGGAGGCCCACTGAGGGCTGGGGAGAGGGCCCCGGGCCCGCCCGGTCGTGGCCCCTGCCTCGTGCGGTCCTGTCGCCCGAGGCGCGCCTGCCGGGGAATTTGTTTTTCCTCAAGTCCCGCTCCGGAGGTGGGGACTGGCTGGTCCCTGAGTGCGTGGGTGGCCGTGGGGGCCATACCCGGCTCCTGCTCCCACTCCCACTCCCGCGTGTCCCTTGTGAACTTCGCCACCATGCTCCTGGGGTCAACCAGATGTCCACGTGAGCTCCGGTCGTGTCGGGGATGCCCTGGTTTTGGGGATGTGGTGGCCTTTTCTGGTTTTTTAGAGGTGGCCGTGATCAGTGGATTATTCCCGACCCTGGGCGTGGTGGTATGTTTTCACACCCCTAGTAGGTATTTTGTGCCACCAGGTTAGTGCCGACACTCTGTCCCCCAGTGGCTGTCACTGGGGAGGAGGGGTGTCCTCCAGGTCCTCCTGTGTGCCAGCTACCCCCGTGCACCGGCTCCCCACTGCCAGGTGCTTTGGCGTGGTTATGATGATCTCATGCCTGGCTTGGCCTTGTGCTGCGTGTCTGCTGGTGTCGCCTGGGGTGGGGCCGGTGGGGCTCAAAGCGGGGGCAGCTCTCCTTCCGGTTGTTGTCCTTGCTGGGCCACCCTCTGGGCTACCCTGTGATTGATGAGGTGATGTCAAGCTCTCCAGGGCCGGGCCTAAGCCACACCAGACGAGGGACGGACATTCATAGTGAATGGGACCGCTCCTCTCGTTCTGCCTGTGGGCCCCTTGTCTCTCCCGCCCGCTCGCGGGTGGTGTGTGGAAGGCAGAGGTGCAGAATCCGGCCCGACCTCATTTCCCTGCTTTTCTGCCCTCGTGGCATTGGTGGGGCCGGGGTCCTCTGATGGGGGCACAGCCATGCCCTCTGCATGTCTCTCAGGCTGTGACTCATTGTTGGGGCAGCCCCTCTCGTGAGCGGCTCAGCTCCGCCCGGTCCTTTGTGGTGCTCCTGGAGTGCCCCAGGTCGTCCGCTCAGGTGCCTGAGGCCGAGCGGTAGTGTTGTTTCTGTTCCCAGCACCCCCCTCCGGTGGCCACCGCAGTGCCTGTGTGTTTGGGCCTTGAGTTTTTCTTGGGGGGGTCGAGGCGGTAAAGAGGGGCCTGTTGCCTGCAAAGGAGTGTGTGGGCGCGCCGGTCTGCCCGACTTTTTGCATGTGTGGGGGACTTGGCTGCAAAGCCCAGTGAGGTTGAGTTGGCTGGATGTGTTGTGTGAGCCCTGGGAGCAGAGGTCGGCTTTCTCTGGGCTCCAGCTGTGAATGCTCCAGAGTTGCCACCACACAGTTTTTATCTATACTGCAACCCCCCCAAAGGCGTCCCCGAGTGCCTTTTGCAGGCCCGGATGGAGGTGAATGGTGGGGGATGGCCCACCCTTGGTGAGAAAGCCTTCTCTAGCGATCCAAGAGGAGTGCTTTTGGGGTACTGGATCTCCCAGCTGCCACTGCTCCTCTGCATGTAGTAGGCCACCGACACGACCTCGGTCGGTCCGTGTCCGTGTGCGTGTGTAGGCAGAAGTCCCTAAACCCCTCGTTGGGGGTGAGGGATCCGCCAGTCCCTGTGGTGGGGGCTGTGTGTTGCTCTTTGCCTACTGTGGCCCGTGCCTCCCCCCAGTGAGTCAGGGGAGGATCCCGCAGGGCCGGGCTGGCGTCTGGTGTGGGGACGTGGGTGCGTGCATGCATGTGAGCGCACGTGCGGTATCCCCATGGTGCATGTCGAGGGGGGGACCGTCCCATCCCGCTCCCTCCTGCCCGCAAGCGCGAGCTTCTCCGCCCGCTCCCATCCTGAGCTGCTGCAGCTGGTGCCGACGGCGGTGCCACGGGGTCGGGCCGCCTCGCCCTGGGAGTGTTCCAGTGGGGACGCGGTCAACCCGGAAAGGGACCAGGATGGATGGAGGCGAGAGGGCACGTGCCGTGAGGTGCGGTTTGTGTGGCGTGTCGGGCTCATGTGGGTGCCCTGGCGGTGGGGTGACTCACAGGGGACAAGTGGTGAGAGGATCGAGGAGAGAAAGGGTGCTGCTCGAAGGCCGGCCGTCTGGCATCCCGGTGGTCACAGGACTGCCCTTGTGTATGGGGCGGTGGGATCCCGTGTGCATTTCCCCGGTGGCTCGGCTGTGTCTGAGGGCTCTTTTCTGTCTCTCTCTGGCTCTCCCCGAGCTTCCCTGTGCCTCTCCCACTCCCATGGCTCCCTGCCTGCGCTCGATCCCTCCTCCTCTCCTTCCCTCCCTCTGTCACTGGTGACCTTCCTTCTTCCCATCCCCCCACCACAAGCGTCGACCCGACTGTGTCATTCCACCCGGGACCGAGTTCCGGCCTCGCTGTCGTGCGGTTGCCTCCTCTGGCTTTTCACAGCTGGGGGCGGCCCTCCCTGGCGGTGGTCGTGCCTTTGGTGCCCCGTGGTGGTTGGCTGTACGTTGGCCTGGTTGATCGTGTTGGGGGGTATGGAGAGGGTGTTTCGCCCGCATGGCTGGTGGATGGAGGGAGAGAGAAAGAGAGAAAAGTGTCCTGTGGGGGATGGCTGTCCAGAGGTGTGGCAGTGTGGTGCCCAGTGGTGGGCCCCGCTAGGCGTGTGGGGAGACACCGAGGCGCAGGCCGGTCATCCAGGGTGCCGCGGGACTGCCTTCATGTGAGGAGGCCGCTGGTGGTGAGATTCCATGTGCATCCCAGCGGCCGGCTGTGTAGGAGGCATCTCCGTGGGCGTCCTCGCGGTGGTGCCCCACGGGCCCCTCCCCCGCCCACCTTTCTGG